TTGTTTTGATGCCAATTCAGGCAAATCTTTGGGAGAAAGCAAGGAAATATATTATGGACTGGGTTTAGAATGACACCAAGACATCAGTAGTCACTGTTAGGTGTGCTAATGGCATTGTGGTATATAAGAAAATGTCCAAAATTTTTACAGCTTCATACTGGAATATGTGTGAGTGAAATGACATGTTTGTGGTTTGTTTTAAAATACTTTGACAATAAAAAGAAGTCTTGATAGTAGTTGAATCTGGGAGGTGGGGAGGATAGATTTATTGTGCCATTTACTTTCATGTATGTTTGAAAATTTTTACAATAAAAATATTGAAGTATACATAGTTCAGTCAAGTAGTTTTAAAGGCTTGTTATGAAAAACAGTTGCCCTCTGTCTCTCTGTCACTTCCCAAGAGTAACTACTTTTACCACTTTAAAAAGCATATTTGGGTATTAACTTCTGCATAACCTGCCTGCTGCTTCTTGATTTTTTTTTAGGCATTATTTGCAAACTTTTCACTACAGAAGATAATTTATTTTTCCTTCCATACACACTCCCTCCGCCACCATGCCCACATGACCATTCAAGTCTTTAATCCTCCTAATACATGACAATGATCAGAATTCACTTGATCAATCTACTATTACAGTTATAGAAATACTGTTACTTTTCTACATAACTTTACATTCTCACTGGAATTAATAACTGTCTTTTTATTTGCTTGATTTTCTGTGTACTATGTACATTAATCTACCCCAAACTTTCCACCATCTATTTGGTTCTCAAGGTATAGTCCATGTATCCCTAGGGATCCCTGAGACCCTTCCAGGGGTCCAGGGAGTCAAAACTATTTTCTTAATAATACTAAGGCAGTGTTATATGTCCTTTCCACATGCTGACATTTATACTGGTGGCACAAAGGCCCTCAGGGGTAAAGCTGCTGCCTTGGTGCAAATCCGGCAATGGCACCCAGCGCACCTGTGGCCACCAGTCTCCAGCACCACATACTCATGTAAAACAAATGAAGATTCGGGACAGAGCAGTAAAAATTATTAATTTTATGATGTCTCAACCCTTGATTGTCTTTTTCACTTTCGTTGCATGTGGAAGCAGGCTGGTGGTCTTGAGGAAAAGCGTTTACATAACTGAGTCGTGAAGGGAACTATTGCTCATTTTATGGAACATTGTTTTTATTGAAGGAATAGCTGACACACAAACTATAGTTATTTAGACTTGGGTATTTGGGGGAGAGTGAGAAAGCACAGTCTCTGGTGTCTCTTCTTTTTTTCTTGTTTTGTTTTGTTTTTTCTCCACATGAGGTCTCACCATGTTTCCCAATCAGTGAAATCCTCCTGTCTCAGCCTCCCAAAGTGCTGGGATTATAGGCATAAGCCATTGTGCCCAGCCCCCATTTTGTTTTTTGACACAGAGTCTTACTCCCATTGCCCAGGCTGGACTGCAGTGGTATGATCATGGCTCACTGCAGCCTCAATTTCCCAGGCTCAGGTGATCCTCCCACCTGAGCCTCCCCAATAGCTGGGACTACAGACATACACCACCGCACCCGGCTACCTTTTGTATTTTTAGTAGAGACAGGGTTTCAATATGTGCCCAGGCTGATCTTGAATTCCTGGGCTCAAGCAATCTGCCTGCTTCAGCCTCCCAAAGTGCTGGGACTACAGGCATAAGCCACTGTGCCTGTAACTAGCTTTGAGAAACTATTTATTACAGTTTTGTGTAGTACAAAAATGAATATCCACAATTATCTGAAAAAGTTATCAAAATGCTCCTTTCTTTTCCAGCTACATAACTACATATCAACCAAAACAACTGATTCCAACAGACAAAATGTAGAAACCCATGAGAGGATCCAGCTTAGCATCTTCTTTTTTTTTTTCAGACAGAGTTTCACTCTTGTTGTCCAGGCTGTAGTGCAATGGTGAGATCTCAGCTCACTGCAACCTCCATCTCCCAGATTCAAGCAATTCTCCTGCCTCACTCTCCCAAGTAGCTGGAATTACAGGCACCCGCCACCACGCCCGGCTAACTTTTTGTATTTTTAGTAGAGACAAGGTTTCACCATGTTGGCCAGGCTGGTCTTGAACTCCTGACCTCAAATGACTGACCTCCCAAAGTGCTAGGATTACAGGCGTGAGCCACTGTGCCTGGCACTTAGCATCTTCAAGACAGACCTAAAGGACAGTGTAGTAGCTGTGACAAGGACCCTGACTGGCCCTTTACAGGAAAAGTCTGCCAGCTCCGATCTAAGTGATTCCTTCACTTCTTTCCAGTATTAGAGTATTTGTTTTCTAGGTCTCACATCTTCCTCTTTCTTGATTTACTCCTCCTTCATTTTGGTGAAGCACATCCCCTGGTGGCTTTCTGAGAAAGGGTATGTAAGATGCACATTTTTGTTGAGGCCTTGTATGTCTGAAGATGTCCTTTCCTACCCTTGCCCTTTATTGATAGATTTGTTGGGTACAGAATTTTGGCATGAAGATCACAGTCCTTCAGAAATTAGCTCTGCTTGACTGTCCTCTAACTTCTAGGGTTCTGGTAGAAAAGTCTGAAGTATTCTGATTTCCAATTTTCGTATGTCTTTTCTTTGTCCACAGTGTTCTGAAATTTTATGATGATGTGTCTCCACCCCTGTGCTAGGCAGTATGCCCTTTCAATATGGAAAATCATATCTTCCAGGAATGGGGCATTTCCTAGAATTATTTTGTTGATCATTTCTTTTCCTCTGTTTACTTTGTTCTGTATTTCTGGAATACTCATTGAAGAGATACTGTATATCTTGGACTAGTCCTCTAATTTTTTGTCTTTCCTATCTTTTTCTGGGACAACTCCTCAACTTTATCTTTCAATAGGAATCCTGAACCTTCTTTAATTATTCTAACCTGTTTTTAATTCTCAAGAGCTTTTTCTCCCCCCCCAAATGTTTCTTTTTTAAAATATCAAGATTTTGTGATACAGCTACTTTCTTTTTCAAAAAATTCCCTAAAGATATAAGTGATAATTTCTTTTCCCTGCTAGTGTGTTTTGTTTTAGTTACTTTTTCTGTTTGTTTCCTTTTTTCCTGTTTGTTTGTACTCCAGTTGAATTACATATATACTTAGGAGCCCCAGGGCTAGGCGTAAACTCTGGACAGGGTTTCATCAAAGTAAAATAAAGCTGTTGTTGAAACAAAGCATTGGTAATAGCTTCCCTATTCTACATTAGAATCCTCCCTCTGGGCTGTCTCTTCATACATGAAAATGAAATCCTAAAAAGCTCTGATTGTGTGGGTAAAGCTTATTGTCTGTAAGCTTTACTACAGGGAGAAACAGCTGGGCTGTTGATTGGGAAACTCTTAAGGTTAGTATCTTTATGTTTTTATTATTTTTTTTTTTGGCAGTCATCTTCAGCTAATATCTTTACATTTTTATTCCTCACTATTCAGATTACTCAGAGATTTTCCCATGTCCTGACTCATGGATATAGGCCTGGCGACCAGTATTCTGGGGCTGGCGGCAAAAAGCAAGCTGACACTCTTAACATTCAGTATGCCAACATTCACTCAACCTCCCCTAAATGTGTTCTCTAGACAGGGTCAAGTAAGAGGTGTCTGAACTAGAGGACATCAAACACCACCATCAAGCATGTTTGATGTTCTCTAGTTCAGACACCTCTTACTTGACCCTGTCTAGAGGACACATTTCTGATCTTCTGCTAAGTTATAGGAGGGGCAATTTTTAAAAATAAACTTTCAATACTGTTGTTACCCTCATTCTCCCCCACCCCTCCCCCACCTTCTAGAATTATCTGGTACTGTCAATTTCTGAATTGTTTACGGTTCTACTGCACAAACTGGGTTGTTTCTTGGCTTTCTCTATTGCTGGCTCAGGATTCAGCTTTCTCAGGACTGCTAAGTCAGTTACCACTCATCCATCTGCTACTCAGCTTCCAAACTTTTGTTGCTGTTGTCTCCTCTCCCACTCTCTTTGTTCTTGTGGGTTTATGTCTTTTAAAAAAAATCCCTTTACTGTTGCTTTAGTGAGGTTTTGGGAGGGAATGAAAGTAAATGTGGGTATTTGATCCTCTATCTTTATTTGGAACCTCTTTATAATTAAATATCTTTTTTTTACTTCCATTTAAATATTACAGTATAAACACTTTCCATATTCTTCCATGGTCTCTGTCAATAGCTTTAATAACTGCATATATTCCATTGAGAATGCACCACAGCTTACCTAATCATGACCCTATTTCTGAATATTTAGAGTTGTTTCGGATGCAGGGAGGGGTCTAGTTTCTCTTTCATGTATCTCTCTCCTGTTGTTCCCTATAGGCACATCCCGACGACCGGCATAGAGTTATTTTTCCCTATGCCTAGGAACTCCTGCTGACATCCTTCTCTGTTCTTGGTCTGTGGTTTCACCACCTTGTGCCTTGATTATGGCACTACCTTGCTCATTCATCTTCACAGCTCCAATCTTCCTGCATGACGATGCAATGCTGACCTTTCTAAAACCATCTTTCTCATGATACTTCAGAGGAACCCTAACACCTACAATTCATTTGTGAGTGGCAATTGTGATTCTCCAGTTTGATTTCACCCCACCTACGTAAACTCTTTTCACTTTACCTAATGTCTTCCTCCAAACAGGTTCTGCTCTCCCAACTGCAGGGTGAGCTGCCCCTCCTGCCTTGCCAAGCCTCATTCAATCCCACTTACACCCTGTCTCCTGAATAAGCCTCCCCAGCATCACTCTGCTTACTCAGTTTCTTCCTTCATGATAGCAGGCATGAAGTATATTCAAAGTGCTTAGAGTCAGTCTTGCCTTCTAAGTGGGGCTGACGGCTCTTCTGAGGCAAGGACTCTGACATTTCTTCTCTATTATGGCTGCTCCATACCTCCCTTGTCCTACCACCATGGCACCCCAGCCAGTGCCAGGCACATGGTGGGTGCTTCCCATGACTCATGGAATGGAACAGAGGTAAGTGGAGAAAGAAAACGTGTAAGTTGTTACCTTGCCCCCTGGAGTCAGTGTCCAGATCACAGAGAAGGTCAGCTTGTCGGACATGGGGTTGAGACTGCACAGCTCCTCACACAGCAGCCTGGGAAGCATGGGGACCACCTGTAAACAGAGTGCAGGCCCGTGAGCACCTTTCTCCAACACACTTAGGAGAAGCCCAGAGGGCAGAGTTTTGGTGAACAGCTTCAGCTTTTCCCGAGCAAGCTGAAGATGGAGGTGGCTCCGTTCCCAAAGACACTGCAGAAAGACCACACTATCGTATACTTTTCCATGCGCCTCTACAGTCAAATGGAAATGTGAGCTGGGAGAGTGAGGAGAGCTGGTAGAGGAAGGCAAAAGTACACTGCAAGCGATGGAAAATAGCTACACTGTATTATCTACTAAACTTGATGCTCCAGACTTAAGAAGTACTTGTGCTTTGGGACATAAACACTCCAGTTGAATTATACAAATACTTAAGAGCCCAAGGACTGAGAGTAAACTCTGGACAGGGTTTCGTCAAAGTAAAGTAAGCTATTGTTATTGTTGAATCAATGTTTTAGTAATTAATATACCACAGTTTACCAAATGACATATTGGAATATTGAGAGAAAACTTTAATAAAACATCACTAGAATGATAAAACTGAAAGGGTCATACATCCAGGTTTCCTAGATAAACACTGTGATCAACTAGTTATCCATTTTCCCATTTTTTAATCCTAAATGATTTCTTCTCCTTATTGATCTGTCTATTCCATAATAATGAGTCAACGGTATACACTCTTTAATTAAAAACTGTTTCTCAACTTACTTTCAAATGATGACTTGCAGTTGTCCCAAAATATTTCTTGTTTTTCTACTATTCCAAAGATGAAGTGAATATCTCTACCTATATCTCCTGAAGATACTTCAAAATCTCTCTCCCATCTACTCTTGTCTGTTCCTTTTCCCATATTTTTCTTGATTTGTGGCAGGAACATCCACCCCACCTCTCTAACTAAAAACTTCAGCAGAACTAGCCATTTACTCAACATATTTCCTGTGGCCCACTTTGGTTTGCAGTGTTGAGCACGGATAATACTGTAACCCCCACGCTAGGTAATTGAGAAGTGATAGGCAAAGGGCGGCCATGCTGTAGATGAGGTACATTTAGCAAATTATGTTTCTTTACAGGCAGAAACAGAACAAATCCCAGTGGCTTCTTATTCTGTGTGAAGTATCTGCAACTATACTCTGCTTTAGTACAGTAAGTATCTTTGGTATGGAATAGTAATCTAGAACTCATGGCCTACACCAGTAACAAATAATTTACAATTGTTTGGTATTTCTAAAGGATGCCTCATCTTTTAACATCTATGTGAAACCTAATGACTACCTGATAACTTTGGTAACAGCTTTTCCTAACAGCTTTTGGTAACAGCTTTTACAGACAACTACTTTTGAAACTGTTTCTTGCCATTGCATTTGCACCATCTTTTCAGTTAATACTATATTTTCTTTGCTAGTATTTTATGATGCATTCGAATGTAATCTAAATATTTAATATTTTCTTGTATATGTCAAGTGTTGTATAAAATGATATATTTTCACCTGTTTAAAAATAGTGCATAAAATGGAGAAAGCTTCAATATGGTATTGAATTATAGATTTCACATACTCAGCCTTTGGGCTATACTAGGTACTGAACTGGCATCCTCCCCTCCCCACCCCTAGTTATATGTTGAAGCCCTAACCCCCAATGTGACTGCATATAGAGATAGGGTCTTCCAGAGGTAAGTAAGGTTAAATGAGGATACGGGGTGGGGACCTGATCTAACAGGCCTGGTGACTTTATAAGATGAGAAAGAGACACAAGACTCTCTCTGCATGAATAGGCACAGAGAAAAGGCCATGTGAGGGCACAACCATATGCAAATCAAGAAGAGGCCCTCCGCAAGAACTGAATTGGCTACACCTTGATATGGAAATTCTGGCCTCCAAAACTGGGAGAAAATAAATCTCTGTTGTTTAAGCTATGGCATGTTGTTATAGGGGCCCGAGCTAAGACACTAACTCAAGTTTGTTGGGCGTGTGTTCTTGTATCCTCCTCTGGGCTGCATTAACTGACAGTTCGTTCTATCAACTATATTTTGGTAACTGACTGCTCAGCCACCTAGCACACTTGCTGCAATGATATTAGTCCAGGGTTTAATGCCTGTTTTTTTTTTTAACAGATAGTAAGGGTGTCTTCTAAGGGTTCAAGGCAGTATCTTACTTTAAGTCACAAAGCTGAGCATTTGATTATGCATCATAATTCCTGACTTCATATTGTAGTGTTCGTCAAAAGAAAGTCATTACAACTTGGGCCAGAATTAGATCCTGAAACAGAAAGAAAACACTGATGGAAAAACTAGTGAAATCCAAACAATGTCTGTTTCTTAGTTAGGACACATGAAGCATGGTCATGTAAGATGTTAACATGGAGGAACTGGGCATGGGACCATTCTGTACTACCTTTGCAACTTCTCTGTCAACTACAAGCATTCCAAAATAAAAGAGCTTATTAAAAAGAAAGTCGCTGTGTTCATTAATTCGTGGTGTGTTACAAACTTAAATATGAAATAAATGTATGCTAATTATCTAGTGAAAACCTGATCTGTTTCTACATGATAGAATCTGGGGTTCAGATTTTATTTGCAAAAAGGGCTTCACCACTTAAAAAAAATACAGCAAGGTCCAAAGACCTTTTTACCAACTCAGTGACATGCAGACTCAGCAGCAGCATGGTACAGGAAAGAGGGCAAAGGCTTTGCCACCTGAGAGACTTGGGGGCTAATCTTGGGCCCACCACTTCTTGTACAATTTGGGCAAGTTTGTAAAATTGTGAGTCTTGGTCTTCAAGTTAGTAAAATTTTGAGTTGTGGTCTTCTTATTGGCAGAACAATACTGAAGATGCTCAATAAAAGTCAGCTCACTGGCCAGCCCACGGTGTCCAAGGTGCTATAACCAGGCTCAGGCATCCCCTTCAGCCTTGTGCCCTGGCCGTCTCCCAGGGCACTGGCGACATCAGTCACACAGGCCTTCCCACTGCGACTCCTTCACCTGCCTGTGTGCTGCTCCAGCCCTTGCCTGTGCTGGTCCCTCTTTCTAGAACACCTTTCTGGACATTTTACAGCTGGCAAATTCTTACACATCCTTTCAGTTTCTGCTCATTTCTATTGCTAAAAGGTTTATCCAAAACCCCCCAGGCAGAGTGCGTGCTGTGTTTTGTGCACCTCCCCTGTTCTTTCAAAGAGGATTTGGGGCTGTCCTACACAGTCGGCTACTTACTCCATCTCCCTGCTCTTCTGCTGCATTTACACACTGTCCTAATAGCTTCTTCAGGTGCCTCAAGTGCCACGGACAATGAATTCTCAGGAGCAATGGCCAGGCCTCACCCCTCTCTCTCCAGCACCTGATGCATGGTAGGCACTTCCAGTATGCAGACAACTGACTGACTCTGTCCAGGAGATGGACCACCTCATTTTTCCTACGTTTACTGCATCACATAAACATTTTATAAAATACACTAGAGACTTCTATTTAAACATTTGACCAAAAAAGTCATAAGCAACTAGTATTTTAAATATAAGCTATGCTGCTTTGGCTACTACCTCCTAACACTTATCAGCACATGCAGTGGTTGCACAGGCCATAAAAACTGTGTGGTGTCCTGTATCTTACACAGAAGACATTTTATTATTCATACTGCAATGGTCAGATACCACACAATCTAAGTGCTCATGAAAAAGCTGAACATTAAAACTTTTTGGTTAGTATAATTATATTTAATTTTTAAGAAGCATTCCTTGAAAAAGATATTCACTAGGTCTTAAAGAATTCAGATGAAATACATAGAAAACCATCTTTATGTGCATACAGTTTTCTAAATAGATGGTTATTCCTCTGTGTTTCAAAGGAAAAGGAATTAAAAGGTTACAATCACATCTGTGGTTTGGCACATCACAGCCTCTCACAAATGGGGCCTGGTTCCTGCCAGGGTCACTGTGAATGTGCTCTCCCGCAACCCCAGGCACAACAGGATCCCTGTGGAGGAGGTCTGGAAAGAAGAGGCAGGCAGCCCCTTCTGATTAGCTGCTTTCTGGAATCCAAGTCCCATTATGTCAGGCGGAGATGCGCCTGGACCATGGTGCAACAGTTCACGCACACAGGTCAGCTACGTGAGGCCTGCCACGGTTCCTGAGAGCCTTTGGGCCAGGGGGATAAGTGTGGAACATCATGTCTGACTGGAAAAGAAAGGTCTCTCCAGGAGCTGAGAAACTCCTGGCTATCATTAGCACTGTGCAAATGTTCAAGCACTCCCTGACCCCTTGATCCTTTTCCCCAGTCTTGTCCTCATTAACTCCACTACATAGTGTGAACCACATGGATAATTCCTTCGAGGTTCTTTATTTCCCTCACTTCTACTATCCCTGCTCCACAAAGCCCACGACTGATCTTATAATCGGCCTTTCCAACTTCTGCAAGTCCTTGCCAAGCAGTGATAGAGACCTGGGCTGTGTGGAAGATGAGTTGCTAAGCTGTCTTAGTTCTTACCTCCATGAGGGTTGGCAGGCTGTTCACTTGTCTTTGTTACTTCCTTCCCTGCGCCCCTCAGATGAGGTCCCAAAATGTTATTACTCTCCTCAGACCTCCTACCTGACTGCCTTCTCAATTGTTCTCAGCAGAAAATCTCAACTCTTCTTCACAGAGAAAACAGATCATCAGACTCCATCCCTTGCAAGCAACTTTCCAGCTCTTTCCTTTGGCCAACTTCTCCCAGGACCCCTCACTTTACATGTGTGCCCTGGTCTCCTGCCATCTCACAATGAGCGTCTTCCCTGTCCAAGGCCTGGCTATCTGGCCTTGTGACTCCACATACCTCTGGACACCATGAACTGGATGTCCCACGAATATTTCAAACTCCACATGGAGAAGACAAAGGTCAGCATTTCCCCTCTTCTTCGCCTGTTCCCATGTCTACATTTCCCACCTCTGTTAACAGCAGCATTCTGCCGAAGTTAAATATGCAAGGAAACAAATAACCACCCCTCCCTCAAAACCATCAAAGTCACAAACACCACACCCATGCCTCCCCATGCT